GAAAAAGTAATATTTTCACTGATTTTGGGTAATGATAGGATACTACCAACTTTTTCGTAGATATTTTAATGTATGCCTAACTTCATTTCGAGTTTGAGGTTTATGCAGATAAACTGTAGATTAATACTTTATGTTTTATCCATTTCATAAGGTTTATTCACATAGTAAACAATTCTCAGGATACGATCTATTTGTGGCATTTAACATAAAATTGTTTAGATTCTTCAAAATTTTCATATTTCTTGCTGTCATTTGATAGTATGATAAGCATCATTATTGACAATTTATTTCTAACTTGATATGTAATTTGATGAACTATGTTATCATATTAGATTTCATGTTCTTTTTCCGTGTTGTATCCGCGGCATCAGATTGTCAATCCATGTTTAATTCTGTGCCGCTCTGAACCATTTGAGAATCACGCCTTTTGCTACCTCTAAATTTTGAGTTTTCCACCGTTTACGAAAGCCTCATTGGACATTCTTTATTTCCGCCAAAATGGCATAATAAACAGTTAGGCTGCGTTTGCACACTGAATTATGCTGTTTAAGGAATTCAGCATATTATAATAGACAATAATAGGTAAATGGTATTATCGTGGATCGAGGTGGATGGTGTTTAATTTTTTCACTCAACCGTATAACATAATTCGGATGTTTGAGATGGGTTTAGACCGGATAAAGAAGATATAGTTAATGACATTCTTTGAATGAAATGTCAATGGATACTATCCACCTTAATGTACTATAATAGTATATATCTAATACTACCTCAGTCCTATAAAGATAGTCAAGTTTTCCTTTTTCGTCTGTCCCAAATTATAGTCTTGTTTTTCATTTGAAAATGTAGTTAATATATTAATTTCCTAATATGCTCTTATTTAATGTGCTTTGTTATCACAAATATAAACCACTCCATTATTCAATTGTAGTTGGAACAATAAATTAAAAACCAAAAAAAGTTCCATCTTCCATAACATTTATTAATTGGTATTTGGAGTATAAATAAATAAATAAATAAAAAGCACACCATCATCTATTATCATCAATGTTAACTATCTTGATTATTGCATTAAACAATGACTAGTACCAAAAAGAGTTTAATTATCTTGAACATTGCATTGCATTGCATTGCATTGCATAATTTAATTACCTTGAACAGTGATTGCATTAATATAGGGGTATATTAGGAAAAAAAGTAGTAAAATTTATCGTGTCAACTATATTAACTAAATTTTCTTAATGAAATATGACTATTTTTATGGACGGAGGTAGTAATAATTATGGTAATATTATACTAAATTCTTTATATGACTTAATCCGGTATGCAAAAAGTGAACTTATTGGTTTACTTCGTCCAATAATACTCAAATTTATTAAACTGTTCATAACTTCATTCCTCTTCAAGTTGGTTGCCTTATATTTTGTGCTACTAAAGCCCGGTTTGTCTTTTGTTTTCTGCACGTCCATCTCTCTTTTACGCATTTGCATTTTTTCTTATAACAAACAAAATTAACGTGGAAATGAGCATTTGGTGTTGCAATGTTGATAAAAATTGGATTTCAGGCCCAAATTGAGCAAATGAAAGCTCAAGCTCAAGCAAAGATGGTGAAGAAGATAGCAATGGCAACACAAAAATCAGAGGAAATGCAGGCTGCTGCAGAAGCTAGAAAAAATCGACAGGCTGAAAAAACTGCTGCAAATGCAGAGTACATTCGCCAAACAGGTCGAATTCCATCATCCCCTTTTACGTGCTGTGGTTGATTATAATATCAAGAATGTTGCATAAATAAGAAGAGTAGTCCAACGATCGATGGATTGCTACCGTGTTGTATGTCATAAATCTTGGTTTTATTGAAAAAATCGATGTAGCCTTTAGATAGAGTGAAGAGTATGTGATCTTACTGATATATCTTTATAGTGTCAACTATATTTATCCAGTGTTGTAAAAATCTTTTTCTAACTTTTGATTTCTGGTCAATTTAATTACCTGAATATAATAGTTCTCTTCTTTGGAATTTGAAGCCCACTTCATCCAGCGCAAAATAATTCAAATTTGCTATAAAACTTGAAAAATGAGAATATCAGAAAGATTTTGGTATATATTATTAAATTTGTCCAAGAAAATTTTAATACGTAGAATCTTTACTCGAAATAATAAGGAGATTGATGTGAAAGGCATACACATCTTCCTTCTCGAGACAGTTTTCAAGTCAATTCGTCTTAGAATTTACTAAATGACAATGAACGACTTATAATAATATATTTGTAAGTTAAAAGACGAGGTGTGACATATAATATATAATAACATATTTGTAAGTTCTAACCTTCCGAGGAAATCTTAGCAAGTCTACAATTATTCATCACATTACATGAAGTTATACTTGTAATGTCTTCCCAAGTCCAACGGTTCCAATATGACCCCAAACAACTCGATAGGCTTTGGGAAACTAGAAATTAGGATTGGCATGATCCAGGTTTGAAGATAACCGAACTGAAATAAGAGCAATGAGAATTTTATAAATGGAATTACTGGTTATAAATTTAACTATAGCACAGTGATAACGAGAGAATTTAAGTTTAATATAGACTAAAGTTTCAAGTTTCAAAACATGTATACAAATACTCCGGACATACTAGAGCTTACAAGATCAAAAAATGTACAAACGGTAAAGATCTAAAAACCCAATGCTAAAGACTCAGAATGAATCAAAACATGAGAATACAATTAAAACATAACTTTGTATATTTGTATTTTGATCTGCAATCTGAATATGGATTTATATCTACAGAAATATTTCTATTCCTATCTATCCAAATATGATAAACGGTGCAGACCAATGCAATTCTTGACTTTACTTTGCCAAGAGGTTCCTCGTGCTTCTTTTTTGATCCACTTCAACGCACTTGCAATCATTGTCATCGATCTCCTAATGCCCAACCATGCTCTAATCTCTCCCCAAGTGGGAGAACTCGAACACTGATAGAAAAGGTGCTGGACAGTTTCGGTATGTGAACCACACAGCAAAAAGTAGTCTTTTTCTGCAAAAGGATAACAAAAACCCCCCACTAAAAAGGGCATTCAATTTCTAGTGTGGTGTGGAATTCCTACGCACCTTCAATTGGTGCTCTTCTTGTTGGCTTGCACTCACACTGGACTTCCCATTTCATTACCTACAATCCCCCTTCTGTAAAATCCTCATGAGTTTACAGTTTTGAGAGCCCAACAAGTCAAATGCAAGTCCAAGTAGTTTAAACAAATATACAAGAGACATACATATAGATTTTGAATTGACATAATACAACACTAATATCAAGTTTTAACATTTCTTGAGCTTTAAAAAGACTATAGCATGGTAAAAAACTACAACTAATCACAGACACTACTGTCCTAAAATACGCGGGTTCTTGTATTTTAGGACTGAGAAACAGAGGACGTTATGCTATAATAATTACCAGTACAGCTTACAAGTAATGGCTTAAGCAAGAAGCAAGAAGTTCTATCCCACCAAAGTTGTAGGAAGAAATGCTAATATTACAAAATACTTGTCTTCTGATAAAATTGTTCTAAAAATCAAGAGTACCAACAGATGGTATCCCGGCATTCATATTCCTGGACTCTTGCCGGCTTGCATAGCTATCACAGCTGCTGCCTGGAAGCCTCTGAATCGGGACAGAATTTAGAAGCTCCAAGCGTCGTTTTCCCATCTCTTGCACCTCTTGTGGCGAGAGTATCTTGATACACCATACACTGTTTACAAATTCCCTGGGAATAGAATGAACACAGTATGCATCAGATGTGAACATGCAGTAACAATTGTGTAATATGGTAAGTTGGCTAATTATATCTGCAAAATAAAAGCTCGTTGAAGGACACAGTGTTTTCATTTAAAACTAACAAGAAATTCAAAATGAGTACCTTGAATCTTGAAATAAGTATAATTTAACAGCGGGCACTTTATTTGAGCAATAAAGGAATAATATAGAAGAGGCATTTCATTGTGATATTGATTAAACTAACCGATCAAATAAGACGCGACTAATGGAGTTGACTACCCAAATTATGCCTCTAATGCTAGAAAGGACATCCACAAGAACTTGAGATGATAGTTTCACGTCCATTGATCCAGACTCAGAACACAAGGTGCATGTAAACACAAAATTTAATGAACAGATTTTTAAGGAAAAACTCACAGCCAAGGGTCATCGCCAAGAAGAAGATCATCATTCTCTCGATCCACAAATACAAGCTGCCAGCCTGATCTCAAAGGGTCCTCCAATTGACCGACAAGGCCAAACATCCGTGCAAGCTCACTGCGCAGCTCATGATAGCTGCTGAACTTGGTGATATCTAGTGACCTTCCGAAGGACCCTGATTTGTAAACCTATTGAAAAAAGGAAATGCAAATGAAAAGATAATCTGTGGAATGTAAAATAGTTCATTTGGCAATCCTACCAATTCCCCGCAACAATCAAACAAACTGCCAGGTATGGGAGAAAAACTTCTCCATTTTGATAGGTAGACGGTTCAATGGGGTCACATCATTATGGCATACCTTAACAAAGGTTTTGGAAGATGGGTCTTGTTGCCCCATGCTTTTGGACGACTGCATGACACTCGACCCGTTGATACAACTGGAAGAAGTTAATGCAGGGTCAAGTGAATAATCAGTGCCAGTGCTAGTCAAGTAGTTGGAAGAGGCAAATGCTATAGTCGGATTATCACAATCACTGCCAACTCCCCTAAGATTTGACATCCCATTCTGCATGAGAAGGGAAGAGGAATCCATATTAAATCCAAATAGAAGGTGATTTTGGGGATCATTGCTTCCTTCATGGTCCAGAATGCACTCCCTACCAGGAAACGGGGGCAAAGAAACAGTATTTTGAGATATGTTTGTGTTTGGCGGTGCCAACTGATCTGACGATATACCCTGAGATACTCCCAAATGAAAAAGAGGATCGATGGCAACCCTCTTTGTAGGCCAACCACTAGAAGATAACAAGTCGCTCGATCTAGGCACATTAAGAAGGTTGGGTGACTCAACCTGGGAGACTGAACCCAATAGACTGTGAAGCGGAGAATTAATATTGCTAGTGACAGGTTTGACATTTGAATCCAGAAAGTTCTGTGGGTGCATGGATGAAATGGATTGTCGCTCTGAAGACTGGGCTTGAGAGCTTGAAGCAAAGTGAGATAGGGCAGGTACAGCACTTGAAACCTGCTGAGCATCAATTAATTGCTGCTGTTGGAGCTCTAGATTTCTGAAAGAGTTTTGATGCTGCAATTGCTGCTGAAGAAGATGAGTTTGCTGTTGCAGAGATGCCTGAGGCTGGTTTTCTTGAAAGCTTTGAAGAAAGGGAGAAGGGGAGTGAGACTGCTGCATGATCTGAGACTGCACCAAACCTGCAGTCCTGCTAGCGACAGCTGGTGGTTGCTGGAACTGGACATGTGATGAGAGGATTTGCTTCGAAGGATCGACAGCCCTCATCTCCTGAAGAGCAGCAGCAGCAGCCATAGCTTGGTACATGTCAGTCCGCATGCCAAGTGTTGAAGTATCAAGCCTTGGCTGCATCCAAGGCGTGACTCCCATTCCTTGAAAGTTCAGAGATTGCATTCCACAGTCTCCAATATCTCCACGGAGCCACATAAAAGAGGAATTTATTCCCATATCATCATTCTTCATCCCTAAGAGCAACAAACAGTATTAGTTACGGCACTAGAGATTGTGTATTTCCAGCCCCGATGCTGAATGGCATGTGATAAGAAGAGGTAGCAAGAGCAATGTAAAATGTATGGGTCAGCAAGGATAGAATGAAAAACAATCAGAAAATTCAACGCCATACCACTGAATGAAGGGAGTCCTGGTGGCCATGGTCGCTTTAGTCTCACAGGAAATGGTGATGGATACATGGGGAATGTTGTTAAAGGCTCAATTTCCCATAGGGAGACCCTAGGCTGCCTTTCACCAGCTGTAGATTCGTCCCAACCAACCTGCATCAACAAGGTGAAAGTTCAGTTTATCATGGACATCATTGAAAAAGATAGGATTCCAAAGTTACAGTTCAGTTACTTTTCAAGCAACGTGGAAAAATAAATATTGCCAGTATTAATCGAAGAATATGAGGAAGTTTGTACCATACAGTTATACCTTCACGGATCGCCAATGTGAATTCGGCCACCGAACAGGGTCAAAGTCACTTATGCCAGTTATCGTCCCCATATAGCTAGAACCAAGCATATAATTAGAATTATCATTTGAATGTATATGACTTCTAGTAAAAGAAGGAACTTGTAAGGGAGCATAAAATGAGCTTATAAACTTAAGGAACCATGAAAAATACGTAATATCCACTCCCTGACAGATACATTGAACTTGGAGGGCATGCCAACATTATCAGTCTTGGTCAGTATTTTGAAGTCAATCCTAATACCATGTTCCTCATCTTAAAACTATTAAAAAGGTTTTCAAATATTTCTTCAGCTCGCTAGATGGATGGTAGATTATATTTACATAGAAAAGAAAAAATATTCAAATTATTGGATGTAAACCTGCAAACATAGAAAGGTGTTAAATATATCTCTACAAACAATGATAAAGCAAGTAAAGTTCTGCAATAGTTGTCAGGAAACCTACCGACGAACGCTAGATTCTTCTGTTTCAAACTGCATCCTGAAGCGCATACCAACAGACACTCGAGTATGATAAACTGCTTTTACATATTTGGCCAGAGGTATAACAAATTCTGATGGACTAGCCCTGTAATTAGAGAACTAATTGAGTTGAGATACAACTGATTTGAGGAGTATAACCTTGATCATGGTTCAAAGAGCATACCTTGGGTTGAAAAATATGGTGAAACGGCTATTAGTTGCAGCTGCATGTGCAGCAGCAGCAAGAAGCCCCAGATGCATGCTGTCGCTCGACAAAACTGAAGAAGGCATGACAGTTTGTGGGCGATTGGCACGTCGGATACCAAGAAGCAATTGATTCTTGTCATTCCTAAATAATGTAAAATAAACAGTTCCAATGGAGATTCAGTACCTACACTTGTTCTCAAATGTTGCAGAAATATTACACAGCCAGGATGACAGAACAAGAAAGAAAATGCCACTTGGGACATGAATGGAAAATGTCGATCTAAATCCCAATAATGAAAGCTCATCAGATGACAAAGATGGTCACTTTAAAGGGAAGGTATAAGACCAGAACAATTTAGTGCCTACCATATGAAAAGGACTGAATCACCAGCAATGAGTCTTTTTGCACTGACAAACACACTCCAACCAGTAGTAAGAAGATGCCTCTTTGGCTGACCTGTGAAGAGAACATAAACAGTTACGGGAATTAGCCAGCATATTTCCAAAGAAAAAATCACAAAATAATATTTATATTGGATACAATTAGAATGCGTACATATCCTGAAACTGACTGAACTTGCTATAGATTCAGTCATTGTGTATCACTTAGTTTGAAAAAAAAAAGACTGAAGAATAGAAGATGAAAAGTAGCAGGATATTTTCTGTCATTAAAAGGTTTCAGCTCAATCCAATAATCCCAATTTAGCAAAAATCCAATAAAAAGGCACAAATTCTCCCCAACCCACCCCCTTTACTCTACCTACAGTTAAGAAACTTACCGCGGAAAATATGTCTGAATTTCCACTCATTGTTATGCAGATCCCGTGCAATCAACTCTTGAGCTGGAGGTTGCTGTGAAAAGTCCTGCAGGCTGAGAACATTAGAACATATGTACAGGACATCAAAGATATATAAACCAAAGCTGGATGGCTTATAACTTTCTAAAAACCAGATTTATTACCAATGGTGGAAACACTTTCTCAGCTGCCCGACGGGGAACTGAAAATCCACCATGAGTACTTGTATCACTGGCCGTTAATGTTTTGCAGAAGTAATTCGTTGGCTGTTTGCTGGGGGCACCCAGATCTGCAGGAAGGAAGGTAACATCCTTTTGCTCTTGCTGCATTAAAGGCGCATTAGGATTTAACTAAATAGAAACGAAACATGAAATAAGTGACGACCTAATCTTAGCATAGAGTTGACGTACTGGGCTCAATGGTTGCAACGTCATTTGAGCATAAACCTCATCTGTCTCTACATCAGCCTGGATAACAAATAATAAGCATCTAGAACAACATGTAAGTTTAATTTGGAACACAACCAACTTCAAGATCTCTTACATGCATTGTCGCATTATGAAGCTGACAAATCAGTTGTGGAGGTAAGCTCGGGTAGTTCGGTATTTGTGCATCAACTTCCTTGTTGGTTGATACAGCAACCTATAGAGAAACCATTGACAAATCATGATCTAAACATGATCTTTGTTTTTAAGACACGTCTGCCATCAAGGGCACCAGTCAAACACCCCGAACAAAAACAAATTAATAGTAAATGTATTAAAAGCTTAGCATTCGACCTTCAGGAAACTGTAATTTATCAAAATAAAAGGCCAAAAAGCAAACCTGTTCGCTGTGACCCTGCGGAAAATACACCACATGGCTCCCAACAGCAGGTAGAGAAACAAGAGGACCAGCACAGGCATGCCAAAGTTCAGAATTCAGACAATTCTTATCCCCTGAAAATAAAACTAAAATTAAAAAAAAAAAATCTTGTACTACTATATCCTCATAAAATGGTATTAGTTCGAAGAATAAATTTTTTTGGTGTGTATTTTGAAATCACAAAGCAACAATGAAAAGGAGCATTAATGGCAAAAAATTAGTAACTCTGATATCGTGTAGAAGAGACGTATATAGGGAATCCTGAAATAAAGCCTTTCAATCCTAAGAACTATAATAAAGTCTCTCTTGTCCCAAAAAAAAAAAAAAAATCACAGAGAAAAAAGGGATATGAGGGATCTTGATATAAAAGCTTATTTTTTCCATCCAACTGCCACATTGAACCCCCCCCCCCCCCCCCCACACTAAGCTCCCATCATCAGGATTCTGCACTTTATATTATAAATTAGGTATAAAGAGGTTGATATTGTTCAATTTCACCTTTAAGTTGTCAAGAATATGCAATTTTACATACATTCTAGCCTCGGCCAAAGAAGGCCAAAATGAGATTATAGTGGGAAGCTCTTTTGTGAGATATGCAGCATTAAAATAGTGAGTAATTAACTTGAAGAGAAGACAATTTACCTTCAGGAGACTGCTGATTTAAACCAACAGATGAGGACTTCATTGCTGCAGATTCAACAGTAAAAGATGGAACCAGAAAGAGGCCTCTATAACTCACCAAACTTCAACGCACGTAGTCATAGCACTTTATACCCAACCCACCCCTTCAATGCCAACCTACCAAATATAGTGCAAGAAAATTGAGGAAATTATTTCACATGAATATTTTGAAGTAAATTTAGCTTTAGCTCCCCCAGTAAATATATAATCAACCAAAACCTGTTCTACTACAGAACACACAAAAATTCAGCTTCATCAGCGTTTTATATCCTTCACCAAACACCCCCAGGCACAGAATGTCATTTCCAAGAAATTCATATGCCAAATCTTGAACTGATCATCAACCACATTTCAGCTCAAATCCACCACAAAACCTAATCTTTTAGCCCAAATTCCTCAAAGAACACAAATCTTTTAGATCCAAAAATCGGTACCCAGAGCCAAAATCCCAAAACTTTAAAAACCCAGTTCAGATCTCGGTTTCACTCAATCAACGAACTCGAACCCATAATCACGAGAAAGCTTCGATCTTGAATTTCCAACACCAAGTTTCACCACGAAAGAGGCACCCATAATCTGTTATTCACACAACTCAACAACTTCTGCCCACAGATGAAGCATATTTGAACCTCATTCAAGCTCAACTACACAAATGGCCTACGATTCCGAGTGAATATTTTCGAACTCAAGCACAGATGCATGACAGTGCACATCAAGCAGAGCTAATTAGGGAGCGGGCCGAGTGACACTACTTATCTGCTTGTGCTTTTACCTTATATTTACTACTCTATGTATGTATATATACACAGGGTATAATTCTCTCTCTCTCTCTCCTGGGCAAATCAATCAATTCAACTTTTTTTATATTATAATTCAAGAAGTCATTTTTTAAGCCAAGGAGGAGAGAGAAAGTGTATTTGTGTCAGGTTTTTTTTTTTTCTAGAAAGAGGATTGAGTGAGAGAAAGTGGACCGTTCAATAATTAATAACTTTCATTTACTATTTTGCCCTTGTTGCTTTTAAATGCAATGGGTTCATGGAAAGTGAAGTGAGCCTAATGGAAAGGGACTGGATTTAAGATTTAAGACCGGAGGTTGCTGTTGTACATCAATGTTATGGGCCCGAAGAGGGCCCAACAGCGATTGAACATTATTGTTCTCTTTTCAATTTTTCTAATTTCTACTATACTACATATCGAGCCGACTCTATTTCAGTTAAAGTAAATGAAAGATCTCGATCAACATATAAAATCGAGTAATGTTATTTATAATTAATGACGATCATCCCCATTTTAAATGATAGTGGCCCCTAATGGAATTTATCGTCCAATCTTACTTTCTTTAGATGATTTCATCAGGTGGAAATAGTTGTGATCACACCTTTCTCTTCTTCATTCATTTAGTTTAGGAAAGATATATATTTCCCTTGACGAAAAGGACTACATGGAAACATACATCCAAAATTCAAAATTAGGAAGTGGAAATGATCTTTACGTGAAAATGAACATGGGTGACTAACGTAGAATATATTGAAGATCCGTTGATTTTGAATATTTTCAATGAATTCGTTTAGCTTACAGTAAGAATATGGTATAAGTAATTTCCATTTTAGTTTTTTGCATGTCCACTTACGTCTATTTGAAAGTACTTGGTTATTCGGAAAAGGAAAAAAGATTAAGCTCTATGATTACATTGTTAAACTCTCGGACCATAAAAAAAAAATATGATGTTGAAGGATAAATATATTTTACACGTCTATTCGGACTTCTGAACTTTGATTATTTATTGTTAATTGGTAAATATCTACCTAATTTAGTGTCATTATGTTAATTATAGGAAAAATCCTTTTTGAATGCAATTGGTTTCTGTTGTGGTTTGACCTAAAATCTAATAAGTATTAGAATCTAAATTAGAGTGGTTTTGAAAAGATCAAAATTATGAACTTGAAGAAAAAGTCGCCACATTTTCGCTAGCCTGCTCGAGCGACCTGGTAGAAAACAAGACTAGTCCCTCGTCTGGCACTGCCCTGACACTCGCCTATCGCCCGCCTGTCGCTCCAACCCAGGTCCATTTTCCTTTTTTGACAAAGTTTTGGACTCCTATTCTTCTACAAGATCTTGATAGTTTTAAATTTCAATTGAGTATATTGAGTTCTTGTAAACACGATTGCTATTGATTATAGTGGATTTCTCCTCCTTTATCCGTAATTTTTTCTCGTATTGGGTTTTCACGTAAATTTTGGAGTTTATTTTCTTCTTGTTTACAATCCAAATTCATAACAATTTCGAAGAAATATGATTTTGAGTTTAATTGAAGTTGATTCAGTGCAAATCATGACCAATCGAATTGAAAATGATTGAGAAAAAGTATTAAGAGAGCAATCAAACGAGAATTACAAGTTTCCAGGGTTAAATCCAATATATAGAAAGTTTATGGAATTAGTTGCAAACTTTTGATGCTTTTCAGATGATTGTAAATAATGCTACCAAAAATCGCACATGTTGAGTTCCGAACTTGAAGATTGAGAATGAACACGAACGAGATCTTCTAGTACCTAAAACAAAGGCGTAGATGTGTGTCCTCGTCGCCCTTCCGATGCTTAAGTTAGAGAAAGAATTTACGAAAAATATGTGCTAAAAATTACGTAAAACGTACCTTGATAATGAATGGGGTGTTGTATTTATAGAGGTAGGTAGTACATTTCTGCCAGGATTAGACTGTTGAAGTCCTTAGGAGTTCTACCATGCTTAGAAGTTGTAACTTGATTGATTTTGTATTACTCAAGTGTTTGGATTAAAATATAACTCTGGTGGTAGATTCCTTTCAAGATGAGGTAGCATACTAACAGCGTGATTTGAATTTCTTGGAAAGTCATAACTTCGAGGAGGTCCTAAGCCAATGGGGAAAATTCCCTCATCGAGGAAGAATCCGAAGAGTATTTCCCGAGGATCTTGCCCATGTTCGTGGGCAGATAGGTACCTCAAGCAATAGTGCTCGGGATATACACATATTGGGATGATCACTGGCCCCCGTCATCCATGTCAAATGCTCATGCTCAAGATTCTGGGGTGAGATGCATATTCGACATAAGGAACGAGCACTACTCCTCCGGTGACATGGTCGAGGTTATATCTATGCTGAGATGAAAGGCACGATCAGCCTTTAGTGAGGCATGGTCAGCTTCGAGAAAGTAATGACTAGCCTTCAGAATGGCATTGCCTTTCAGCATGATCATCCTTTAGAGAGGCATGATCAGCCTTTAAAGAGAAATGATCCGCCTGAAGTAAGGTATGATCAGCTTGAAGTAGGGCATGATTAGCCATCACTAAGGCATGATCATCCTTTAGAAAGGCATGATTAGTCTGCTTAGATGAGAGTGCTCGGGTCGGAGGAGGTTTATGAGTGGATGGTTGTCACGTGGCCTTGATCCTTGAGCCAAAGATTTCCTTCTTTGGATGGTGGCCACGTGTCATAAGATGGACGGTCCAGATCAGGAGACCTTTTAACTTCTTCAACCTCCTATAAATACCCCCTACACCAAATCATGTCACTTTACACTCTCACAACTCTCCTCGAGCCACCTTGGGTTTAGACTTAAAGTAAGACCTCGTGACTTCTAGATAATTTAAGTTTCTAAGTTTTCATTCCTTAAAGATGTCTAGTGGGGATTCCTCAGGGTCGTGCTCCACACCCGGCGATGTAGGACACTCTATAGTACCAATGGATGTCCCTTTAGATAGTAGGCCAATCATTAGCTCTCCCGACCTCCAATCCAGGTATAAAGAGCACGAGGTCATCAAGATCACGAGGGGGTATAGCTTGATGCCCTTGTGAAACATTAGGGCCCCGAGACCCGAGGATAGGGTTACAAGTGCATGGGAATAAGAGTTAATTGTTTTCAAAGATGCCCTTAAGGGAGGAATGAGGTGGCCCCTTCACCTTTTCTTCGTCGAGTTCCTGGTCGAGCAAAATATGTGCCCTGGGCAACTTGTACCGAACGAATGGAGGATGATAACTTATTTTTTTTGTAGCTTGCTAGGCACTTTCGATAAACCCGAGGCTCGACCTTTTAAGAATGGTCTTCGAGCTTAAATTTCTTACAAAGTTTCAACTACTTCATATATTTATTGAACTAGGGTAGGTTTAGAATTCCTAAAATGTCGAGCTCCCCTCAAGGGGTGGAGAGCGAGTTCTTTTTTATAGCTCCTCGGGATCTCGACCATCCTTTCAGCCCTAGGTAACGGTGCCTGATACTGCTCGATTTGATGAGGGCCATGCGTATTTTGAAGTGCTTGAGAGGGATAGGCCAATGGTAAAGGACCTCGAGCCTCTTGCCTTTAACTTGGATCACCTCATCGATGATGATATCATCAACTTTGCTAATGTGAAAGGCGTCAGGGTAGGGTGTTATGCATTGTCCCTTGTATTTATATCGATGATATCCCCGAGCAATTAACTTGTTTATTTGGTTTTGTGCTTTGTAGAGCTCGAGATGACGTTCAACCCGGCCCCCTTAACGCTACAGCTTAGAGGAAACCCCAAGGGCCACAAGCTCGAGCACAGGGGCTAAAGAAGGGCAAGAAGAGAGCCTGAGACCAAGCCCCAACCATTGCAGTGAGGGGTCCACGGGAGCCTTTGAGACATTTTTCTCAGACACCCGCGCAATCACCACCACCGCCCCCAACGGTCGAGAAAAGGCCATATATTCCAAGAAGCAAGCCCGAGGTTGTTGACCTCAAGGACGAACCTGTGCCTCCTACCGGCTTAATGTTAGAGGATTATAAGAGGTGCACTCTCATCCCGAGCATTGTGGGTCGTTACAGAACGAATATCGACGTTGACGTCGGGATGAACACGCTAGAGGCGATGACCGTAAAGGTGAGTTTTGTTTACAGCATCTTCGACTTATATCCTCGACATATTGATTATTTGACTTATCGTCAATTTTTTGATTTCACCAGACTTTGAGCGTAGCCCGGGGACTGGCACTGAGAGGCATGGACGAC